TGCTCATCAGGAACCTGTACATTAGACCAGAAGGCTGTCATTCGACCAGAACAAGGGGATACTGAATGGTTTAAAATCAGGAAGGGAATGCATCAGGGTTGTATCTTTTCACCATACTTACTCAATCTGTATGCTGAACAAGTAATCTGAGAAGCTGGACTATAATGAAGAAGAAAGTGGCATCAAGATTGGAGGAAGACTCATTAACTGTAGATATTCAGACAATACAACTTTGCTTGCTGACAGCGAAAATGACTTGAAGCTCTTATTGATGAATATTAAAGACACTAGTCTGCAGTATTGATTACATCTCAACATAAAGAAAACAATAATCCTCACAGCTGGATTACTAAGCAGCATCATGATAAGTGGAGAAAAGAGTGAAGTTGTGAATGATTACATATTTCTTGATTCCTCAATCAACATCAATAGAAGTAGCAGTCAAGAAATCAGACGATGTATTGCACTGGGCAAATCTACTGCAAAAGACCTCTTTAAAGTGCTAAAGGACAAAGACATCCCTTTGAAGACTAAGGTGTAACTAACCCAAGCCATGGTATTTTTAATCACCTCATATGCATGTGAGAGCTGGACAATGAAAAGGAAGACTGAAGAAGAGTTGTGGTGTTGGTGAAGAATACTGAAAGTACCATGGACTGCCAGAAGAACTAACAAATCTGTCCTGGAGGAAGTGCAGCTAGAATGCTCCTTGGAAGTGAGAATGACTAGTCTTCGTCTCACCTACCTTAGTCTTGTTGTCAGAACGGACCATTCTCTGGAGAAGGATATCATGCTTGGTAAAGTGGAGGGTGAACGAAAAAGAAGAAGGCCCTTAATAAGATGGATTGAGACAGTGGCTGCAACAATAGGCTTAGGTATAGCAAGGATTGTGAGGCTGGCACAGGACGAGGCAGTGTTTCGTTCTGTTGTACATAGTGTCACTATGAGTCAAAGCCGACATGATGACACCTAACGACAACAACATGATTTGCTGCCAGGAAACAGGTGCATCAGGGTTGTATTCTATCATCATGCTTATTCTGCAGATGACACAGCATTGCTTACTTAAAGTGAAGAATACTGAAAGCACTTACTGATGAAGATCAAAGACTACAGTCTTCAGTATGAATTATACCTCTACATTAAAAAAAAAAAAATCCTCACTACTGAACCGATAAGCAACATCATAATAAACAGATACAATAATGAAGTTGCCAAGGATTTCACCATCAGTTCCCATGGAAGCAGCAGTGCTTTAGTTATCTAGTACTGCTACAACAGAAATACCACAAGTGGATGCTTTAACCAGAAATTTATTCTTTCACAGTTTAGGGGGCTAGAACTCCAAATTCAGGGTGCTACCTCGAGTGGAGCTCTGGTAGCATAGTGCCTGAGGCACTTGGCTGCTAACCAGAAAGCTGGCGGTTCAAACCCACAGCCACTCCTCAGAAGGAAGGTTAGGCAATCTACTTCCGTAGTGATACTGCCTCGGAAACCCAGGGAGGGGCCATTATGAGTTGGGTCCGACTCGGTGGCACATAACTACAACAATACCTCGAGTGGAAAGCTTTCTATCTCTGTGTCTTCTGGTTCTAAGAGATTCCCAGTACAGAGACACTGGGTCCAAGGGCTGCATTCTGCTCCCAGATCTTCTTTCTTGGTGGTTGTAGGTCCCTCTCTGTCTGCTTGCTTCTCTTCTTTTATTTCTTGTGAGATAAAAAGTGTTGCAAACCACACTCCTGGGAAACTCGCCTTATGCTGCTGGATCAATCAGGCTGTGATAGGATTAAGGTGTTGCATCCCATTCTACTGGTTTTACAGTTGATTTGCTTATCACATCAATTCATATCATGGGCTATTATCACGTAACTGCCAAACTACTGAGAATCATGGCTTAGCCAAGTTAACATCTTTTTTGGGACACAATTCAATCCACAACAAGCAATCAAGAGAGCAAACATTTTACTGCCTTGGGAAAAATCTGAAAAATATCTCTTTAAAGTGTTAAAGAGCAAAGATGTAATTTTGAGGACTAAGGTAGTGTAGTGCCTAAGGCACTTGACTGCTAACCAGAAGGCTGGCGGTTCAAACCCACCAGCCACTTCTCAGAAGAAAGGTTGTGCAATTTACTTCCGTAGTGATACTGCCTTGGAAACCAAAGGAGGGGTCTCTATGAGTTGGGTCCAACTCGACGACACATAACAATAATGACAACGACCCAAGCCATGGTATTTTCAGTCACCTCATATACATTTGAAAGCTGGACGGTGAATAAGAAAGACCAAAGAATTGATGCCTTTATATTATGGTGCTGTTGAAGAATATTAAATATACTGTGGACTGCTAGACCAAAGAGCTCTGGTGGTGTAGTGGTTAAGACATTTGGCTGCTAACCACAAGGTTGGTGGTTTGAACCTGCCAGCTGCTCCATGGAAGAAAGATGAGGCAGTCTGCTTCCTTATAGATTTAGAGCCTTGGACACCCAATTGGGGTCGCTATGAGTTAGAATTGACTCAATGGCAGTGAGTTTGGTTTTGAACTGCTAGAAGAATGAACAAATCTGTCTTGGAGGAAGTACAACCAGAATGCTCCTAGAAGCAAGAATGGTGAAACTGTCCCAAATACTTTGGACATGTTATCAGAAGTGACCAGTCCCTGGTGAAGGACAACATGCTTGGTAAAGTAGAAAATTACAAACCAAACCCACTGTCATCAAGTTGATTCTGACTCATAGCAAGCCTGTAAGATAGAATAAAATTGCTCTATCGGTTTCCAGGTTGTAAATCTTTATGGAAGGAGACTATCTTATCCATCTTCTGCAGAGCAGCTGTGGGGTTGGAAACCACTGACCTTTTGATTAGCAGCCGAATGCTTTAACCACCAGGCCACCAGAGCTCCTTGAACCAAACTGTAAACCAAGTACCAAACCAAACCCAGTGCCACTGAGTTGATTCCGACTCATAGCAATGCTAATAGGAAAGAGTAGAACTGCCCCAAAGAGTTTCCAAGGCCATACAACTTTGCAGAAGCAGACTGCCTCTGCCTCATCTTTCTCCCACAGAGTGGCTAGTGGGTTTGAGCCACTGGCCATTTTGTTAGCAGCCAAATGCTTTAACCACTATGCCATTACAGTTCCTTGGTGAAGTAGAGGGTCAGTGCAAATGAGAAAGACCCTAAGCAAGATAGATTGACACAGTGGCTGCAATAATAGTCTCAAGCATAGAAACAATTGCGAGGATGACACAGGATTAGGCAGTGTTCTGTTCTGTTATGCATAAGGTTGCTTTGGGTTGAAACCAACTCAGTGGCATCTAACAGCAACAGCAAAAGCAACAGTGATTTACTGTGATTTATTTTCAAGAAAATAAAGAAAACTTTGGAGGATTTCACCACAGACCTCAAATCTATGTTTATAAAAATAAAAGTAAAATAGAATTCTAGAACTCAAAAGTAATACAGCTGAAATCAGTAATTCAGTCGATGTGATTAATAGGAGATTATGCACAGATGAACACTCCAACCAAAGAACTTCATATTCCTCCCAATATTTCTGTTTCCCTTTCTATGACATGAATTAATTTCTGGGTCTCCTTTTTGTTGTGAGCCTCCACACACCATACTTCCATTTCTGCTTTATTGAGTTTATATCACTCTAGTAGGCGGCTATGGTGGCACAGTGGTTGGAGAATTTGGCTGCTAACCAAAGGATCACCAGTTGAAACCTACCAGCTGCTCTTCAGGAGAAAGACTAGGCAGAGGCCGTCTGCTTCCATAACGTTTCACAGCCTTGGAAACCCTATGGGGCAGTTCCACTCTGTCCTATAGGGTCACTATGAGTCAGAATTGACTCGATGGCAGGGGGTCATCACTCTAGTGACTCTCTCCTTGAAATGTTCCAGGTGAGTGTAAGGGTCTGTAGATCCTTAAATCTATAGAAGAATTTCTAACCACCTCTCCACTTCCATCTCCTTCCTACCCATTCTTAAACCAACTATTTGGTTTTAGACTCTGAAGGTGGTGGGCATAAAGAGAGCAGGCTGTAAACTATGCCCTAACTCACTCTTCTTTTCTTCTTGTTCCATTCCTTCTCCCAAGATAAGGAATAGCAATGTCTTGTCTCTCTCTAGCCTATGGTTAATTTCCACATTCATTGATCTAAAATAGACATGGAGGGTCTATTTTTAGAAATTAAAAATGGAACATTATCTTCTTTGTTCTAGGCTGCATATTTCCTCTCACTGAAGCAATGGCATAAGAATTATTAAAAATGTAAAATATGTTGCTGCAAGTAATGCAGCAAGAATAAATGAGAATGAAAAAATACATTGTATAAAATTCCAAAATGTTATTCTGCCACAGTTAGGGGTATACTTAGACCATTTTTGATTTAAGATGAAACCCACATGTGTAAAGTAACCTTAGTTTATTTCTCTGTGGCTAACTCTTGAGTTTTGTATTTTCCTATACTGTGTGGGGTCTATAAACAGAGGGAATAACTGGTTTACATAGGATATTTGAATTATGCATCAAGGTGATATTAGGGAAAAGTGAAGCTGCCCCTTGGGAAGTGATCTATATCTGAGTTATGCTTATATGATGTCCTTTATGAGTTTTGTGAGCCAGGAAATTGGTTTTATAATTCATAGTAATATCTTTTAAAATGTTCTTACATGTATTACAACAAAATTGAGATTGATGGGCTTTAATTCATCCACGTAGAAACCAATGAATGTACCTTTTATTTTCTTTTTTAATGAAAGAGAATAGTACTATCTAATATATATGTGTGTATGTGTGTGTGCGTTCATGTGTGTGTGTGTGTGTGTGTATGTAAAAACCCAGATCGACAAAAGTAACCAATTGAGGTTGGGTGGGTGCAAGTTATGCATTTAGCTAATAATCTATTTATGGTGACTTAATCTATTGTAGCATAAATACTTTCTGACTTTCCCTCTAAGTGATACCAAATGTAAGTTTCATGTTTTGTTTTGTTTATTAAGGTTTCACTAAGACTAGAAAAAGAGAGAGATTGGAGATTGATGGTGTACATGGTGAGGGTTTTAAGACTATTTCAGCAACACAATATGAAACAATAATGGCCATGACCAGTATGGCCATATTATACTGTCAAATATTTGGAAGAAATGCACTTAATCTCAAGGTATGCTTTTTCAATGACATACTGTGCTGCGTTATCTGTTATGTTTGCTTCAGGTTTTCTAGCTTAGGTCCATTTCCATGATATTGAAGAGGTTTTCCTGGTGCAATTGACATTTCCCAGGAACACTTTAAAATTGCATCTCTAAACCTATCTACCATAGGTTGTGTTCAGTCCATTAGCTTAGTTTAAAATGATGCTATGATCCTAAAGCAATTACAGTGCTTTTTTCATTACATCACACAATAAGAGAAGTGGGATTAAGACTTCTCATATTGTTCAGTGGTCAGAAATCTTGGTTCTTTGTTCCAAATCTAGCTCTAGGCTGGCTTTTCACTGAACAAAAAGTGCCTATTGTTGTGAATTACAATAATAATAGCTAACATCAATCCAACACTAACTGTGTGTCAAGCAAGTACTACTCCTAAAACTTACAAGTCTGAAAATAGGTAATATAATATTCATTTTACAGATGAGGACAATGAGGCTAAGTGAAAGTAACTTGCCCAAGATCACACA